AGATGAAGGTGGGGTGGGAGCTGAAAGAAGCTCTTCATACAGTATTGGTGTAAGGATTAGGCCAACCTTTTTTTCCGGGTGTGGTCTTACCAAACTACTGCTAAGAATGTGCCATCCCACATACACTTGCTCCCAGGACTGATAGGGAAACAGTGAGAATGATGACCTAACTCCTTGTTTTGAAACCAAGTTGGTGATAATGAGATGTTTAAGGCTGAAAAGTGGTTTTTTTTTTTCAGGAAATTCTTTACATGGCCTCAGTGAACGTGATTAAAACGTCATCTGAATATATGACTTCTTGGATAAGTTGCCACTTTGGTCTCCACTCAGGTTGTAGGACTAAGTGGGAAATGAACGAGAGCATCAGCTAATGCTGATGGAGGATCTCACCCTGCAGGGGTCACAGATGAGTCTATATAGAGCCCTTTTGATCTGGCAAGGACAAACAGCCTGCTGTTCTCAAGTGGCAGTCTGGGGTTGTGATCTGAGGTGTACTACTGGATATGAGTATTGGCACGTGGACAGACATCAATATCTCACTGTGCAAACGGCCACGTATGACTGCAAAAATGAAACCTTCCTCCTAAACTGTCTGAGCCAATAGGTAGTTACGCATTTCACTTTTTAATCCCAAGCATGCAAGAGATTAGACTCATCACAAACTCTTACAGGTCAGAGGAAGCAAACGTTGTTACCCACTAGGGTTCAGACATGGCTGTACTGCTACTACACAAAAGGTGTCCTCCACAGAAACCAGACATCTCTGCAATCATAAATTTCATCACTTAAAACAAAAAAAAAAAATCCACAATAAAATTAAACACCCTTACCCGCCAATTTGTTTCAATGACTTGTGTGTGGCATCTGAGTGCTCTATACCACAAAGCTACCTGTGCCCTTCAACAAAGATATTTTACATACAGGTTATCAACATGTTTTTCCAGACCAAAAGAACAGGAATTTAGGTTAATTTAATAGAAAAAATAAAATATGGAATAACATTGATTTTGGCCAATATCAATTACAACATAACTACCCTATTTTACAAATAACAACTGAACATTTTACACATGTACAGTATTTTTTCAGTAAAAATGAATTTGGTTATAACAATGTGTCAGTTTTTTTTAAGAAAACAAAGATATTAATTTCTTCTCTATAATAGTGTTAGAGACATTTGTAAGTATCCAAACAAATTCTTTACAATCCATTACATAATTAAATCTCAATTATGAATATATATTTATATATAATATATATAATATTAACTTAAAATTTAAAAGCATTATGTTCTAATTAAACATGTTATACTGAGAAACGAGGCAGTAACAGGCTAGTAGTTAAACTAACACAAATTGAATTCTTTTAGATTTGAATGTTTATCAGGAAGTTTTTAATGGGCACCAAAGGAGCTTGACTGGCCCCCTGTCACACCGAACCAGGTTGTAATAGTTTATCTGCTCTCTGCTAAAGGTAGCACATTACCTCTATAGGTTTGTATCCATTTGTTTGTAAAACTTCCACAATCATTTTTTTGAGCCTCTTTATTTTCTAACATTTACATGCTTAAAAACCTGCAATCCATTTTCTGTTTGTGTTTCCTGGAAAGGTAACTAATAAAGATACTTTGTACACTTTAAGTATTATCCCCTGAAAACAGTATCTTTGAAGTACAATTTTCTGTTTTCTGCTAAATGACTGTCTTTTGAACAGTATGCTAAGTGAAGCTGATGAAGATACATTAAATGGAAATTTGTACTGGCAGCTGTGTGCCTGGGTAAAAAGAGAAAGGCAGGGGCCGCTTCTCACACCACCCAGGATGGTTTTACAGTGAGGTAACTCCATTGGCCTC